ATCTATTCAAGAAGCTGAAGTAACAATTGAATGTGCTGGTGCACGTGCAACAAGAACAATAAAAAATGTACAAAAATATCCAAATTTTGAATCGTCACCTACTGAAGCAGATACATATGCACTTCTTCTTGTATGAAAACAAAACAAATCTAACGATCTTTCATTTTTGAAACATATATTTTTCTTCCTTGTGTTTTACAGAATTTACCAAATGATGATAAATTTTGGCCACATTTAAGTATACGTTGTGTACAACATCGTCTTTTTGGAATGAAAGAAATTGCTGGCAATCTAGTTGTAACTAATCTACAAAAATATCTTGAAAAATCTATTCATCGTTCAACACCAAATGATCAAGCTGCAGCTGATGCTGTGAATGAATTATCAAAAAGAATTCCATACAATTTTACTCGTGTTCGAAGATCGATTATTGATGCATATGAAGGTATGTTTTTATCTTTTTGAATTTATATCTCCATTATTGGTTTCATTTTAGCTTCTCTAACGCCACAGAACGAGAGTTTAGGAAAAACAAAATTAGTTAAGTTTGAAAGCAATGCAGGTCGTGACAGAGACGATGGTGATAGTCAAGCATCAATTATCCATGCTGATTCATTGGGACAAAGAAAAAAAGTAATTAGAAAGAAAATATCTCTTTTTATCAATAATTGTTCTTTTTTTAATAAAAAAATCAGGAAAATGATGAATCTGGTAGAAAATCAGATAAAGAAGAAGAAGATGGTTTAAGAGAATCTGATTTGACATCTGAATCACCTAGTAATAGAAAACATGGAAATGAATCTTTAACAACATTAGAAAAAATAAAAATAAACGATATGGAAAAAACAGCTGGATGGTGGCATAAATATTATGCATCAAAAGCAAAACTAGTATGGAATTATTTATTTTTTCTTGATTTTTCCTTATTTTTTCTTTTTAATATTTTAATAGAAATTAATGCGACGATGTGCTATAGATATGGATGAAAGTTTAAAAGATAGATATGATGCTTATGCCGG